TCTGTCTTTAAAATAAACTTGGGGGCATAATTGGATTGTCTACAACAAAACTGATTTTAGTTGAAATGTTTCATATTGAAAGTTACATGAAGCAACTCTAAGGAATTTTTGGATTTTTTTATCCTGAACACAGTGCCTAAAATTAGAATACTGATCTAAAAATACAAGTTTGTTCAACTTTTCTTTTCACAAAAGTAGTTAGAATAGTTTGACAGTTTTTCAAAAATGAGGAAATAAGCAAGTTACAGGACATTCAGCCAAAACTTAATCATGCTTCTGTTCTGTATTTCAAAGGTCAAATGGTTCTTCTAGAGTATGTGACTTTTTCTAAATGAAGTATTTTTAGGCTCATTTTCTTCTGTAATAATACAAAAATGTGACTTTTACCATTGAGCTTGTAAGTCTTAGCTAATTTGGGACACATTTGGAGTCAGAGTTCTCTGCATTACAACTAAAATCAGTCGTCCCAACTTGGTCTAGAGAGAATTTTCTAGGGTGGTTCATGAAGGAAAACATGCTTTTGCCTGCTTTTTATAGTGGCTTTTATGGACCCAGAGCCCAGCTGTAGGCATTGATCCTTCTGTTTCCCTCCTCTCATGTAAAATAGCAATATAATTCCTATAGGGTAAAAAAGACACTTTAAGGGCTAGGGTTGTACCTCAGTGGTAGAGCACTTGCCTAACATGCCTAGAGCTCTAGATTTGATCCCCAGCACCTCTGCCAAGACTTCAAAAGCCAGATGTAATGGCATACACCTGTAATCCTATTTCAGAGGCTGAGGCAGGCAGGAGATTGCAAGTTCAAGGCCAGCCTTGGCAACATAAGGAGGCTTTATCTTTAAAAAACAAAACAAAAAACATTTGAGATAATATGTATTTTGGCTTCATATAAAATTTGTCCTCATCATTTAGAAAAATAGAAAGGCGCTGGAAGTAGTCAGAAGTTTGAAAGCACTTAGGCAAGACTTAATTTTTAAATTCTTAATGTATCCAAGAGAAATGAAGGCATGTATCTACACAAAGCCGAAGTTTAGAAATAACCAAAATGTCTTATCAGACAGTCAATAATTAATTGTAGTATATCTTTATGGTAGAAAGTGACAAAAAGGAATGAACTCTAGCTATAATATGAATTAATATCAGGGTAATTTGCTAAGTGAAAAGGAACAGGCTATGTGAGTGCATTTATGGAAAACTGTAATATATAATATAATGACAAAAAGAAGGCCATTAGTTTTTAAGGGTGGGAACAGAGGAGGTAAGAAGCAAGAGAATATATGGGGAATGATTATGTTTATTGTAGTGGGAGTTTCAGAAGTGTACACATTTAAAACTCATTGTGTACTCTATGTGCAACCTGTCACTCAGTGAAATCTCAGGGCTGTTCAAAAATTAGTGAGGATGTCTAAACAGTGATGTTCTGTTTGTTGTCACTTGACTTCCAGATGTCAGCTGAACGTTCATGCTTTGAGTGTGATATCTAATATATATATGTGCTATATGTATCATTGGCCTTGTCATATTATATTTGTTTTATGTCAAATAATGCTACCACCCATTACCACCAGTAAAGGACCGTTTTTTTTCATTGATCCTCTAAAGCTCACTCTGTTTGAATCTTTAAGGTGTTTCTATAGTTTTGGAGTTTGGGTATATTCTTCGTTAACTTGGAATGACTTGCCTTCTTATTCACACTCCTAAGCCTTTCTTTTGTGAATTGGAATAGGTGGTTCTGCAGTATCTGCTGACAGTAAAATTCAGTTAAATCAAGCAAAAAATAAAGATTAAAGCTGAGTACAGCTGGTGATTTAAGCTCAGTGGTTCCGATGCCTGCCTTGAAAGTGCAAGGTCCCAAGTTCGATCCCCGGTACCAAAAAAAAAACTGGGTACAGTTGCACAGACCTGTAATACTAGCTACTCAGGAGGCTGAGATGAGAGAACTGTGTTTGAGGCCAGCCTAGACAACAAGGTGAGACTCAAAAAAAAGAAAAAAAGTATAGTGCCAAACTTCAGGGAGCAAAAACTTGGGAGAGTCTAGTCTGCCCATAACTTAGTTTTGACCTTACAAAATAATCTTGGAAAAGTCAGAACTTCATGAGAAAGAGTAAAAAAAAATGTTCTGGCAGCATTATAAAACTATAGCTAGTTGGCTTATTTCAGTAATGATTTACAGGTTAGTGTCATGTACTTGCTTTGTTCTAAAGTCACTTTTCATAACTTTGTAAGATGAGAATGGAAAGGATCAAAAAGAGAGGATAGAGAGAAAAGAAATAGGGTCTCCAGAAGCACTGGGAAAGTAAATTGGCCTTTAACTTATTTTCTGAGACTGGAAAAAAGTTACAAAGATGAGTGTGAATGAAGATACATTTGAAGGGAGCAGGAAGAGGTGGCAGAAGCTGTCAGAGAGTGGCAGATTGTGCATAATTGTCTGTGTCCTTATTTACAAGGCTGGAAAAGGGAAATGGATTTGACTGATTAGGAGCTCCAGTGTGCCATATTTAGAATATTTCACCATGATGACATGAGGAAGAACTGAGCAAGAAAACAGCCCCCCCCCCAAAAAAAAGTCAGTGAGTTCTCCTAAGGAACCCACCCAAGGCCAAAGACAATTAGTTTGTAATGATTCCACGCTGGATAGTTGTATGATTTTTTTCCCCTCCTCAAATTTCTCAGCAATCTCAATATCAAAATGAAGCAAGCACATTTTAGCATTGATTCAAGTTGCGGTTTGCTGGGGTTGAGATAAAATTATATGGAATCTGAAATATGGAATTCTTTCAGAAATCTGAAAGATATTTGTATGTTTTTCAAATGATCAATTATGAGCTCAGTTTTGTAGAGAAGGAGAAAGAAAGAAGCCAGTCGAGAGCTATTAGCGTAGAATAATAAAGAGAGAAGAATCGGAAGCTTCTGAGTTTAGAAGGCTGACTGGAAGAGAGTCATAAAGGAAGCACAAAAAGAAAATGTAAGATTTCTGGGAGAGAATTTCTAAGCCAGTTCTCAGATGTGATTGAGGCAGTTAATGATTGAAATGCATTAATGAAGTGGTCAACATCAATGCAGTTTAAGGATATACAGGAATTTCAGCTGTAGATTATTATGAGTTTGTACCTGGTTGTTTACAGTTCCAGGATGATAGATGCTATTGGAAAGAATTGAAACATGATCATTGCCCTAAACATGACAAGATTGTAGAGGAAGTTTGATTTCAAGTAACAAGATCTTGGTGGCTATATATGTGGAGTGATGGAGATAAGTGTAAATGAAGATCTTTGGAGTCCAGCATGAGATATATATATATATGTATGTGCAATGACAGGAGACCCTGAACCAAGCTCCAGAATTCTCCTGTATGTGATGCAATAGCTTACAAAAAGTACTTTGCTTTGTCGAGGGAAGAGGCATAATACTTGGGTATGCAGCTGAGACTGTGGATCCATTCTCAGAATGTTGGGCTTTTAAAAATATACAGGGAGGATAAAATGTGTAACATTAAAGAAAGGAATTTTATTGATACATTTACCAAAATACATGTACTTCTTTATGAACGTATAAATAGCGCTATCTAGAAGCATGTATTAACGACTATAATATTGCAGTCACAGTAAGCATGTATGGTGTTTTAAGCTATTTGCACCATCTGCATTGTATTGATGAAAATTCAGGTACAGTGAATACTGTTGTGTTGCCTACATTCATAATTGAAGAATATACAAAATTTAAGTTAAAATTTAATAAAATTAAGGTATAACTTTTTTCCTCATCCAAGTTCACAGACCTTTTAATTCTCTTGTGGTCCTCTGGTTAAGAAACCCTGATTTTAAGAAGTGGTATATCCAGAAGAACATAAATTGAATAAAAAGTAGTTGGTTTTGCATGGGAGAAATCAAAGTCTTGGAGTGGCAGTAAAGAGCTAGGAGATTATTTCCACACCTAGATGCCGTGGTGAATGTGGTAGTGAGTTAAGTGGAGATGGTGGGGCTGTGTAGCAGAGAGCAGACTTGACTCAGAAGAGGGGAGAGAGCTGGGCCAGTGTACTTCATGATTTTTTTTTAAATCCTTATTTCAGATCAAACCAAAAAAATGAAGGGAGAGGAAGCTGATAAGCAGTGAAAAATTCTCATCAGAGTAGAGAGCATTGAACAAATGAAAAGGAAAGATTAAGGACACAGAAATAGTGAAGTTGTTAGGATTATCCAGAGTGATACAAACTGTTGAGGAAGCCCTGGCAAAATATTCCCTGTGTTCTTGAATGTTTTGGAAGCCTGTGGAAGCAAGCCATGGGGAATCATCAAAGTAGCAAGCAGCCAGTAACTTTTACTCATATTTCTAGGTAGAAATCCGCTAAGCAATTGTTGGATACCCTTGAAAACATAGTGCCCTATTTTAAACATTATGGTTATGGTAAAGAAACTTTGGGTTCATATTTTTACTTCTGATGCCTTTTTGTTTTCCTCATTTGTCCCTGCTAGATGACAAAACATACTCTGTCCAGCTCAAGATAGAAAAAACTGAAGTTAAAATGAGATACTTGATAGCAAAGTACAAAACAATATTTGGGGATGGAGGGAATGGTTGGTGTTTCATAGTAAATCATCAAATGTTTTTTCTGCTTCTTTATTTTTATTGCTGGTCCAAACACATAAAACCATATGAGCATTGGTGAGTAAATACAAACTTTAAGAATTATTTTTTAAAGACCATACTTGCCATTTTATTCCAAGGGAGAACTGTATCTGACAGTAAGGAAAATAGCAAAGTATGTATGTTTTTGGGTTAATAAACTAGACAAACTTCCAATTAATTTTCAGTTGCTTGAAATGTATAGAAGAATTTGGATATTCTGATTAGGAAATGTATTAACTTTAAAGTAAATATTAATACTTAAACTAAATGTTAATACTTTGTACTTAGTTACTCTAATGTGCATTTTCTTTCTTTAAGTCTAACAATAAATTTGTTCATTCATAGATTGATTCTCTTTTGTATTGTTTATTTAAGGAATTAGCTCTTCGTAGCCAGTTGCCAACACTGGAGCAGGATGGTGGAACTCAAAATCCAGTGTCTTCTCCCGGCATGTCTCAGGAATTAAGAACAATGACGACCAATAGCTCAGATCCCTTTCTTAACAGGTTGGTGAGAGTGCTACTGGCGAATACTTGAAAAAGATGATAGATTTAAGATTATTCTACTTAGACCTTGTCATAGGCTGTATTGAACATTTGTGTGAGCCAGAAACCATGGCTATAAATGAATCTCTCCTTAAATGGCAAGTACAGTAAAAGTTGAGGATTAGAAGCCATCTTTGGGGATGGGGGATTTACCTCAGTGCTTCTGCCTGCCCCGAAAGCACAAGGTCCCAAGTTTCATCCCGATAACCAAAAAAAAAACAAAAAAAAAACAAAACCATCTTCGGTGAGAGGAAATGAACTGTTCAGACTTGTAGTTGGTTGGGGGCAGGGATTTAGCTCAGTGGTTTCACTGCCTGCCTCACAAGCACAAGGTCCCGAGTTTGATCCCTGGTACCAGAAAAAATATTAAAAAATAGCCCTAGACTTGTAGAGGGGTCACTTACTCGGTCACATGTTTGCTTCTGCCTGTACTGTTGACTTAATAGTTACTTAAAATTAATCGTGAAAGAACATGTTATGATCTCATTTTAAGGATCATTGGCAGAAATTTTCCACATAGCCATTCAACCTGAGAGAGGTTTCATCCAGCCACACTATAAGCCACATGTTCTCTTAAGGGCTATAGTTTGAAGAGATGAAATATAAAGTTGTGCCTCTTTCATAAATTCATTAAAATTATTAATATTTGAAAATAACATTGCTTAGGATGCTTCTTAGTTATCACAGTTGTTGGGTTTCAGATATTGCAATATATAAACTACTATGTTGACAAATATAGACTGAAACAGATAATATTTTTGGCCTTGAAAGCCATTTAATATTTGATTAAAATTCACTCTTCTGGGTTATAAAACATCTGTGGAGTTTCATTTTTTAGGATAGAATTTTTAGAATTTCTAGTTTTGATTTTTTTATTCTCAATCAATTTTAAGCAACATACTTTTGAAAAATAGATATTTTGGTTTAGAAAAGCTATTATGCCACCTTTTCTTCTCAATCGAACTAAAAACTTTATGATTCTAAGAGAAACAAAATATTTTATCCTTTTAAAAATATTTAAAACAATAGTACATCCCATTGTTCTCCCAATCTTGTACTGGTAGCCTAGTTGGGAATTTTTACTTTGAAAGTCTTTCGAATATATTTTAAGTTTGTGTTTAATCTTCTCACAGACACACACACAGTATTTAAAAATTCTACCTAAAATTGAGAATATTTACACCAGCTTGTAATTCTGAAGTTAAACTGCAGCTAATGAGGAAAGATCATGGGCCCAAAACTTTTTTTTCTTTCCCAAGGAAAATTTCAGATCAGGGTAAGCCCAGTACCTATTTTAGTGTAGACTTATGTTGATACAGGGTAAAATTAAACTATTTTTTAAATAAATGGGTAGACTACAGACCCTTTTTATAGTCATGTGTGCAAATTCTTAAAACTTTTGATAAGAGCTGGACTGTAGTTTGAGGTTCTTTTCTAGTAAGATCACAGCGTAGCAGATAATCAATTTACTATTTTGAGAAGCAGCTTGTACAGTTATTCTCTGTAGTACCCCCTGTGTCTAAAGCACACATCTGACTATGGCATATTTTTTTTTCTTGATACTCTTAATAATTTCTGTATGACTTACCAGTTGACTTACACTTACTCCTTAGGCTATAAGCATTTTTATTCCCCTAACTTGGCAGGGAGTTGACTCTTACTAGTGTTGCAGCGTTGTCTTACCCCTCCCTCTTGTTCTGAGACCCTTCAAGGCCAGCTCAGATGTCCTCTTCTATGAAACCTTTCCTTTTGCACATACAGTTCATATAGACCTGTATATAATTTATTGGTATATTTGTTCATCTTCCTCACCGAAGTTGTAAGCCTCTTAAAAAGTACCATTTGTAGTTTGTTGTTGTTGACCTCTGTATCATCACAGCCTAGTCTAGTGCCTGTGATAAAGTAGCAGTTACTTAGTGAACACTTAACTGAATTAGTAGGCCCTGCAGGAGGTAGGGTTCTGTAAGGAAGCAATTTCTAGTCAGAAAAATGGCCCTGTAAACTCTCCTCAGAAATGCCCATGTACCTCCCCTGTGGATTGAACTCTGCACAACTCTGTAAATTCACCTTCTCTCTAATGGACTCAAATGTCTAATACATGCCCTGTGCTGCATAGCAGTGAGAAGAGAGTGATGATTGGGACAAGGCACTTGTCCCAGATCAGGGCATTCAAAAATAAAAACAAACTACTTCCTGAGGCCTTTTCACGAACAATTGTGTTATCTGGTGTCAGAGGCAAGTTTGTGTTTTGTTAGATGTGTGTGAAGCGTATGAATCTTGCTGAAAGCTGGCAAAAGCTTATGTTAAACCAGTGGTTACAATATACAATAAAGGGGGTGGGAGGATAAGGCAAAAAAATGCGTTGAACAATTTAAGGAAGAAATTCAGGATACTGAACTTTTAACCTTGAACAATTAAAGCTTGTTTTTAAAGCTTAGGTTTGTTGTTGTTGTTAAACTTTTGTTGTAAGTTAAACAGCTGCTTAAATTTCCAAGATGTAGGGAAAGTTAAAGTTCATGTTCAGAACCATTAAGAAAAGTAAAGTTACCTAAGGTTTTTGTAGAACTCAGTTTTATAGTCAATTTCAGCTGGTATCTTTGTGCTACTAGATAAGGAGTGTTCTATTTGTGAATGTAATGTTCTGAGGATATCTACCACTCCTGTATGTAAATCTGGGAAATGTTTCACTTAGCCTAAAGTAAAAAATCTGTCTTAGCTTACGTTTTTCTTCAAGGGATGTGCTTTGTAGTGTCTTGTTTTGTTGATCTTTTCTACAAATGGGGCTATATGGCTGAGGATTTTTGGGTTCTTTGCCTCACCACAACAGAAGCAAAGAAATCAAGCTACAGGAATTCTTATCTCAGTGGCAGTGACTCATCTGTTTTGACCCAGTCCAAAAAGGAATTCTGGTTCTTTTATTTTGGGTTAGGTTGTTTGTTTGTTTGTTTGGCTTAAGTTCTCTGTACAAGAGCTAGGAATTTTAGTAAGAGTCTAGTGCAGGCCTGTCTTATTGCCTAGTTAGAGCTTTTGACCTCTCTGCCAATGCTACCACCACCAGGAGAACTGAGACTTTGGAGCCAACAACCTATGTGGAGCTTTTTAGACCCCTTAAACCTCTTACCACTACTGCCCCCCCGCCCTGCCCCATCCAGTGGTATCCCAGAGAGAGTATCTATGCAGAGAATTTTCTGTCAAGTAGGGAAACTAACTGGATCTGACATTTTTCTGTTACTGCCACAAAACGAAAAACCTTAAGAGAGATCTTGGCCCCTTAGAACTGCCAGCTTCAATTAGGATTAACCTGTCTATTTCATTTCACTGTACAGGGCTATGTATGGCCCTGAAGGAGAATGCTTGTTTTAGGTATTGCAGTATAAGAATTTCACTAATCCTCTTTGAGAATCTTGATACTCAATAGATATTTATTTTGCCTGGATTGATTTAAATTTTTTAGCATTGATATTTTTTGATTGAGATCTTTGTTGTTTTTATTTTCTAATTTTAATTTTTATTAGTACAAGTTTACAATACATAATGATTACATTCATCATGGGGAATTGGGACACATTTTTACATGCCCTTCCCTCCCCACTCCAGCATTGGTCTTTAACTTCTGTTGTGGTTGTGGTTGTTGTAGTGGCACCTATCACTCTCGAGATGAGAGTACAGACAGTGGGCTAAGCATGAGCAGCTACAGTGTCCCTCGGACTCCAGATGACTTCCTAAACAGCGTTGATGAAATGGATACAGGTTTGTATTTTTAATTGCTCTTAGAAACCTAACTTTTAGTAACATACCTGATAACATGTTGTGAGCAAAGGTTATTCAGACGATTAAAATTATGTAAACTCCAGTTCAAATTGAGGCTTCATTTACTATATGGTGATTTGTAATTTGTCTTAGTTTTTAAATGTCATGGATTGGGTATCTTAGCTCTAATTTGGATAAAACTGATAACATGACATTTTAACATGTTAATTGGCAAGATAATTGAGGTCTTTATTAGAGGTCTTTTCTCTTTATAGATTTGTGTTCTTAATTTTGAAGATTTGTGTCCTTAATTTCCATGTGAGTCATTGTCTGCTCTTTTTTCTCTAAGTATTTTTGGTCTAACTTAAGTGTTATGAGGCTCAGGAAACTAGGTGGGAAAGGCTTGGTGGTAAGCCCCACCTACATTATTATAAAAATATTTATGGAAATCTTGCAGGAGCTAAGAAATAACTACCCTGCAGGGGTAATTAAGGAACCATTTCTCCTATGACTTACTGGTGACCATTGCCCTGGGTATGGCAACTGTTAGAGCACGGGACAAGGCAAGGAAATGAAGAAGCTCTTTGGCTAGCTAGGTCTTTAGCTGATGACTTGTCTTCTGAAAATGTTTGGCACATCTTTTGTCCCTGTGTTTATCCAGCTCATGACAATGCTACCTAGCATCCGCAGCACCATTCCTCTATTTACTGAGAATTTAAATCATCCTTAGGGCCCACTTCAAATCCTACTTGTGCATGCCACTTATCTGTACTTTTTGAATCTTCGTTTCTTTCTTATCCAAACCCTTATTAATGAATTATTTTAATTTTTCCGAACATACAGTCTATTGAAGTTCTGAGGGATGTTAATGTAGTCATAAAGGTCCTGTAATGAGGTTAATTTGGGAAATCTAGAAACAAGGGTAGAAAGATCTATTTATTCAAGAACTTCTAGGAAGCTTGTTTTGTTATTATAAATGAATCTCCATGATTAGAATATTTTATTTTAGTGTTTTCTGAAGTGTATGTAAGAGAAAAACAGGTCTATACCATTTATTAAACATGTAAACTTACTGTGGTGGTATATATTTGAAAGTCAGTAGTGTGGTGATACTGTTGCATGGTATACTTGTTTTCTCCCCCTGCTGCATATAGTTTTTTGAGGAATTTTTATGTTTTTTACAACCCCTTTCACTGCTTCACACTTAATAAGCATTCAGATTGTACATTGAATATCTGAGCAGTGTTAAAGTAAACTTGACATTGTCATTTCATTATCTGTGCATTGTTTTCTAAAATAAATTCTGGGCATCAGTCCAGGTCAGTCAGGGGTGCTTTCTTTCTCTTTGCATGTCTGTATGCTCATATGATCTGCTCTGATGTTTAGCTCTTCAGAAAATTACCTTATTGTCCTCTCTCTGTCCCAACTAGGTGATACTATCAACCAAAGCACCCTGCCCTCACAGCAGAACCGTTTCCCAGACTACCTTGAAGCCATTCCTGGGACAAATGTGGACCTTGGAACACTGGAAGGAGATGGAATGAACATAGAAGGAGAGGA